AACGCGTTACAAACAAGCGAAGATGCGTCAGCCCTATGCTCAGCCAAGCAAGAGAATGCACGCACCTGGTGCACCTTCAACTGGCTGGTCGACAGGTCCACGCAGGATGGCGGTGAATGGCCCCGGTCCAGGGTCTTGCCCTGCACTCAATAACACACACGGGGGAGTAGTAGAACACATCACCAGCGGGACAGGCGAGTGTGCTGCAAGAGTCCAGCCTATCCGGCAGGTCAGGCTGTGCATCGAGATTAGTCAGCACAAGAGGAGCATTCTCTCGATGCACGGGACAGTGGCGGTAGCGGCTGTCCGGTGCAGGAGGTGCAGTGCGAGGGCAACACGAAAGCTGAGAGTACACAACAGATCGCACGAAGCACAGTAACAAAATAACACACCTGCATTCGGGGTCGGATCCGCCAGCGTTGGCTGCACCGGTCCTGCAGGATCCACGTCAGGTGCCGCAGTTGCATCGGCAAGTTGCCCTGCACTCAATAACATACACGGGGGAGTAGTAGAACACATCACCAGCGGGACAGGCGAGTGCGCTGCAAGAGTCCAGCCTATCCGGCAGGTCAGGCTGTGCATCGAGATTCGTCAGCACAAGAGGAGCATTCTTTCGATGCACGGGACAGGTGCGGTAGCGGCGGTGCAGGAGGTGCAGTGCGAGGGCAACACGAAAGCAGAGAGTACACAACAGATCGCATGAAGCACAGTAACAAAATAGCACACCTGCATTCGGGGTCGGATCCGCCAGTGTTGGCTGCACCGGTCTTACAGGATCCATGTCAGGTACCGCAGTTGCATCGGCAAGATTGCCATCACGTACAGCCGCTTCCACCACGTCCTGGAACTGCCGCACACCTGCCGCACCCGTGCGATCGTGCAGGAAGGTGGTGCGGAGAACGTTCGCCACCTCCGGATCAGTCGGCGCAAGGGCGGCATGCAAGATTTCGTCCGGCACACCTGCAGCACAGCCCATGCGTTCGTACTCCTGCAGAGCATCCTCATCAACAGCCAGCTCCTCCTCATCGTTGTGCTGCAAGAACCGGACCCAGGCGACGATGACCTGTCCTCGCACCTGTAGACCTGGCGCCTTTCGCACACGTTCCAGCAGCTCCGCCCGGTTGCGAACCTGGTCGACACACACAACCGTGATAGCGCCAGCCAGGTCGGACGCCCGCGCCGGCAGCTGTGCTCGCAGCATATTCGGGTCAGGATTTACGACCCCAATGCCGTGAGTCTTTACAGCACGCGGGAAGACGTCCGGCGGTCGGTCTGCCAGGTACATGATGAGCAACTGCTGGACGATGCGGCCGCGGCCCAGAAGCTGCCCCTCCAGGAAAGTGGGCGACGGCAGAGGGTCACCCAGATGG